CTATGCTATTATCACAAACAACAGAAATATATACATAAATATAAAACTTTCAAAATTTTTATTCATATATAAAAAAATATGAAATTTTAAAACAGTAAAATTTTATTACTATCTATGAGAGTAGTTCAAGTTTTCCATTTAGTATCTATATGCTCTATTCTTTTAGCACTAATACTCTTAGCAAACCACATTAGTCTAAACTTCCGTAATATTAGATAGTTAGACACTGGCGGATCCAGGATTTAATTTTTTTTTTTGGGGGGGGGAGAGGCTTCAGCTCGTGATATTTTTTTTTCATATATATATAACGGTAATTAATTTAAAAAAAAAAAATGAACTACCTATATGAAATGGTGTTTAAGTGATTCTTGAAGTCCTATTAAATGTAATTACACGGACAAGAATACTTTAAGAGATAGTTTTTAATATTTTTTCCTATAAAACGTGGTTATATTTTACCGTTTTTTGGAAGGGGGGGAAGCTTCAGCCCGATAGACCCTCCCCCGTAGATCCGCTTGTGTAGGTAGATGAAAAATGCACAAGTTATAGATTGCATAGGATACAAAGTCCATGGATGATATGATCCACAAACCTTCTATAATTTACTGAAGTTATCATTTATTTACTGTAAAATTATGAGATGGTTTAGTTCTGTATAGTTAATGGTTTCTCTTAAGGATTGACAGCGTATATTATGATCCTGAAATAAATGTGTCTCAATATTTTTCAACAAATTTTTAAATATTTTCTCACATGTCTAAATTAAAATACTTTAAACAAGCGAATGAAAATATTGTAATATATTTTTTACAAATCAAAATTAAAATTAGACAAAAACTAAGTATTTAAACATACATAGTTAAACCCATTTGAGCATATGCCTCACAGATTTACCGTTCAGCAAAAAAGACGTCCTTACAAAAACTACAACTTTTCTATTACAAAATTTTAACAATAATAACAGAAGTTCGTGTTGGTACGTAAATAACAAAACTTTACAATATCGACCAACAAATACGTAGTCGTCACTCTCGATGTCACTTTAAACAACACGATATAATAAACCTATAAACAACATGACCACGGCTCACATGCCCATCAGAAGACAACTAAAAAAGGAGTTGGACGAAAGATATCTTTTTCTGAATCAAGGTAGTAAACAAAGACATGAAAAAGGATGTTGCTGGTTTCTATTCTTCCTTAGCCTAAATGTCTTTTTCGAAATTAAGCATCTGCTTATTGGCACATTCCTGATAGTATGGATATATTTTTTTTATTAGATAATAATACAATCCGTCACTTGGAGCGCAAAAATTACAATAAAAAAATAAGTAAAATACAGAAATAACTGCAAATTAAAAAAAAAGTAAATAAATTACAAAAATTAAACAAATAAAATAATTAAAGAAGTGAAGAATAGTTGGGGTGTTCAGTCAAAAAGGAAGGCAAAAATAAATGGTAATATTTATTTTTTACATATGCCGACGTTTCGACCTGAAGTTCAGGCCTTCATCAGGGCTAAGAAAATAACCAGATAACAAGGTATGAGAAACATAAGAAATGATGGTAAAAAAGATAATAAACAATAAAAAAAGAAAATGAAAAAAAAATTTAGAAAAATAAAATAGATAAATATAAAGTAAAATGAAATTGTTAGAATAATGACTAAGAACTAAGAGATAAATAATAATAACCGTTACAAAGTGTGGAATGATGAAGTAGACATAATCAATAAGGGTGACAAAAGTGTTACAATGGGAATCTCAGAATAAAATGTAAAACATAAAAAAGAAATATGAAGTTATATAAGAAATGAAAATAAATGTCGGCATATGTAGTAAAATAAAGAAACGTAGGCATATGTAAAAATAAATATTACCATTTATTTTTGCCTTCCTTTTTGACTGACCACCCCAACTATTCTTCTCTTCATTATCCACGACAGTCAACCAATTACCAATTATAAATAAAATAATTCTTCTTAAACACATTCGCACTTATGCTATGTACAATAAGTTAAAGATTTATAGAGAAAAAAAGCTTCTAATTACTGTGTATTGTTAGTTGTCAGTAAGGGGTGCGTTTAATACATTATATTGACAATGAATTAATATTATTGAAACAAAATGTGTTTTTGTTATTGATTCACGGACGGATCTTGAGGGTTTCGGGCTGAAGCCACCCCTCCTAAAAATGGTAAAATATAACCATATTTTATGGAAAAAAATAAATACATTACAAAAAGTAAAATAAAATAATTCATAAAAAAAATTATCTTTAAAAGTATTATTGTTCGTCTAATTTAGTGTTGCCAAAATCGGTATTGCAAGATCAAGATCGCGCACAACTGTTGCATCATCAAAACCAAAGTTATTAAAAAAACATTTTTTAACGATTTTTTAAATAAAAATTAAGGCAAAATACTTACTAATACTTGACAATTTTAGTTAATATATGTAAAGAATTGGTATAACCTATATACATTTGCATTTAATTCTTCTAATTTTTCATTCGGGCTTAGTTAGGTTTCTTCTTTCTAAAAAATTACATTAATATCTTTATAAAATAAGCTAATAAGTAACTGCAAGACTGTTGCGAGGCTCTTACGCAAGACCAAGACCAATCCCAAGACTGAGTTAGCATGACCAAGACTAGTTTTGGTCTCGCATTTGGGGAACACTAGTCTAATTACAGTTAATAGGACTTCAACAATCACTTAAACACCATTTCAATAGGTAGTTAGTTTCTTTCTTTTTCTTCCAAAGTAATTATCGTTGTATATATATTTTAAAAAAGAAGCTTAGAGCTGAAGTCCCCCTCCCCTCCAAAAAAAAAATATATCCTATATCCGCTAGTGCCGAAAGCAAATGAAAATAGCAATAAAACTAAACAACATTTAAATATTTGTTTCCCATAGTTAGTGAAATGTCTAAACCATTTCATATAGGTAGTTAGTTTCTTTCTTTCATCCGAAGTCATTATCATAACATATTTGTACAAAAAAAATCTTTCGGGCTGAAGCCTCCCAAAATTAAATCCTGGATCCGTTAGTGTATTGATTCATAAGCGAATAAATTAGTGAGCATGTTTTCAGAATTCTATATGTCTATAACATGTCTATTACCGTAAATGTACCGGTAATAGACATGTTAAAAGAAATATTCAACAAAATGTCAATCACAACTTTAGTCCTGGCGGCAGATCTTTGCAAACGAGTTTAATTGACAGAAAATTTAGTCTATTACTAATTTTGTTTTTGCTAAACAATTGATTAGTTTATTATAAATAAAAACTTGAGAAATTCTGACAACGTATTTTGCACCAGTAATAGACACTCAGGTTGACAGTTTTTTTATATAATAATAAATTCTCCACAATTTTAAAAAAGAAAATGGCAAACTACAGATGCATGAATCAAAATTTCTAACCTATCCGCTAAAAAATATTGATAAGGGAAGTTCCCTTAAACAAACACCCAACCTTGCTTCATTAAAAAATTAAATTAAATAATCAACCAATCGGCTATCGTGGCATGATATCACCTGATGTTCAAACATCACCTTCCTAAATCTTACACTCCCTTTTGAGCGTACAAAGCTTATTCAATGATAATGAATTTTAAAACTGTCTGTTACTGATACATTTATCATATGTACTTAAGATGTAATTTCAGTGAGTATATGTAGGTACCATGATTTAATGGTTCTGTACTTTCGTAGATTCTTCTGTTTCTTCCTTCTTCCGCCAACACATTGGCGTACCACAAGGTAGGGTCTTAAGCCCAATCCTCTTTTCTATATACACCTCTGATATCCCTGAGTACACTAGTACCACCATTTATTGCTATTCTATCTTCACACAAAAATCCTACTATCGCATTAATTGTCCTTCAAAACCATCTCCATGATCTTGAAAAATGGAAAATCAAAATAAATAGTAACAAATCCATCCACGTTAGTTTCTCTTTTAGGAAAGCCCCATGTCCACCCATAACGATTGACAATAATCCAGTGCCTCCAAAGAACTATCTATGTACGGTACCTTGGACTATACAAAAGACTTACTTGGAACATACATACGAAATTAAAAAGACAAGAACTTACTATACGATATAGCCAACTCTCACATCTTTTGGACTTCAGATCTTCAATTAGCTTACAAAACAAGCGACTAATCTACGACACCTTACTGAGACCAATACGGGCATATGGAGCAGAACTTTGGGATTCGGCAAAACAAACACACATAAACAAAATACAACCAGCACAATCGAAAATTTTACGAAAAATTGTTACGCACGTTGGTACATTTCAAACACTACTATACATAACGACTTAAACACCGCAACATTAAAATCCTACATCCACAACAAATACATTTCATTCTTCAACCCAAAATCACTCCAATCCTCTGGTTCTTTCTATCTCCTGCTCCCTGTTAGATTAAAAAGGAAATGATCAAGAGACCTACTATATCGATAATAATAAAATTAAGCAAGTACAACAAAACAGTATAAATATAACAAATTTGCTAAATGTGCTGCCGCGCAGGTGCAAATTGCATAGAATATAAATAAATAAAATATACAAAAAATAATTAGTTGTCTGTATAATACTTAGGATGTTAGTTCGTTTGAAATATATGCGCGTGTAATCAGGTACTCCTGTTTAATGACGTTAAGTGACCCATTTAAATTCTGAACACGGTGGTTAACATTTCATATTTTGTAATCAACCGTTTTAATTATCGTAATTGACACGAAGACAAATCACTTTTCGACCTAATCCTGACTCGAAGGTTAACTTATTCAGAATTAATTTGTCAACTGACTGAACTAAATCGGTAGCTACCGGGCGGTTGGTTAGTCCATGATTGATGAAACATCTGTGAGCTAACTAAACTCCCATTATCCGGCTCCCATTACCTCCAGAGCGTGGAGAATAAACTTTTTTCGCTTTGATTAGAGTGACCTAGGTATGAAACTTCCGCGTTCGTCCTGTATGAGGCAACGGTCGGGAACGGGGGGCGGGGCTAGGGGCGGTTTGGTGGGCGTGGCGAGGGAGGCGTGGCCGCGGGGAGCCAACGAGGCGAGGGGGCGGGGCCGTAACCCCCACCTCTCCCCGCGACCAGTCCTCCCCGATCGGTCAGTCGAGTACAGAGGCTCAGCCCGGTTAGTGTTCTGTAGTGTGGGTTCGAACGATCGCCGGCAAAGTGGACACCGTACACATGGCAGTATCCACCCTCAATATGGCACCGTACTTCACTGGCTATCCCTTTCAAGGTACTCATCAACAAGAAATATTTTTTTAAATTTTAAGCCAGAAAAAAAAACATTTAAATCCTCTTAAAAGGAAATAAATAGGAACGGACAATTCCTTATCTCAAAAATAAATTAATTATAATCTATTTATTTTTTATTAATTACTTAATAGTTGACCGTTGTATTATTAAGGAAGGAGATAGTCCGGGATGGCTGTCATAAATAGTATAAATAGTGGCAAAACTATTTTATTATCCAACGTTTCAACCCGACTTTACAAGTCTTCTTCAGGGAGGTGTGTTCAGCAAGGAGTTTCACTTAAAACTCAATTAAAACCCAGTTTTAAGTGAATCTCCTTGCTGAACACACCTACATAAAGAGGACCTGCAAAATCGGGTCGAAACGTTGGCTTTTAAGAAAATAATTTTGCCACTATTGAGTCTATTTATGACCGCCACAACGGACCATCTTCTTCCTTAATCATTTTTTAATCTGTCTCTCATTTTGTTATGAATAAGTCTATCCGTCAAAACACAAATCGGCACCAAAATCTGAACATTTTAAATAAAAACAACTCAATATCTTCAAATAAAATCTAAATTCACAAAAAATTAATTTAAACCATATTAAATATTTCAATTATATTTTACAATACTATTGTTTAAAAAATAAAGAATTTTAACTTAAAAGATTTAGATAATTTTTTCACTGACTACATGTCAAAACGATATCCGATTTGGCTAAAATATGTTTCTTGAATTTTTTTAGCATCATAATATTTTAAATAGAATTATAATTAAATTATATTTACTTTTTTAATTTTCTAAATTTGTTGATCTTTTGTATTGCTACATTTGATGTCATTTAGACAAAATTCATGCAAATATCCGGTATTTTATATTTTGTAATTATTATATTTACTATTTTAAGTGTTTTAAACCCATTAAGAAAAATCAATAGATTTTAGTAATTTAAATAAGTGTAAAACTTAAATTTGTTTCCGCTATTTATACTAATATAAACAACTATTTTTTTTTCATGTTATATTTTGTACATCCGTTTATAGTTTTTTTTTAAATTATTACATTTGGAGTTATGTAAATATAATTTATGATGATGTATTCCAAGGATTAATATTCAGTAAATAAAATGTTTTTCACTCAGATATTACCGTTAAATATACAAAAACATATTTAATAAGCTGTATGCTTTAAATATTGCTATTTTATTGCGTGTTTTTGTTTTAATATTTCATTTTATGAAAAAAAACTTTAAACTATTATTATACAAAAAAATATTAAAGCAGAATAATCATATATAATTCTTGATTTGTTTTTAAACATACTATGTTCATTTAGGGATTCTCAAGCTCAATCAAGTATAAAAATATTAAAACATTTGTACTGTATTTGCTCATTATTTATAAAATAATTTATTTTAAAACTTATATTTAGAAGCAATCTAATGTAAGAAATTTATCATTTAATAAAAAAAATCGGTAAATTTAAACTGTTTATTGATATTTATATTGTATCTGTATTCTTTAATAACGATTATTATTTTTATATATTTTCATGTTTATCTATTTGTTATGTTAAAATATTATTAATGATATGTACAAATGGCGTGTGGCAATATGATTGGTTGAAATCTGTAATCGATTATAAACGGGGATAAAATGTTAAAAAGCATTAAATACTGTTAAACTAACTCGGCTATTATTGATGCGTTGGTTTTTTCTGTTGATGAGTTATTTTTTAAACGCATGATTAAGTTTTTTTTTAAATTTAGGTACCATAAATATTTTGAATTTTCTACTGCTACAAGATAAGGAAAGTATAGATCAGGATCAAAATTTCTTTGTCCAAATAAATGTATTTTCGATCATTAATGTATGTTTGTCACGATTATCGTTTGAACGAATGGATTTATTTATTTTTTATATTTGATTACAGAACCCGATACGATCTAATCAGCAATTACCGAAAACATGTTATTCTACGGATTGTAATCTCTCAACGGCAATATCGCTTTGAATGAAATTTCAATTTTAAAAATTGTTCATGACTTTTCTACTTTTCATCTTAAAGAATCAATATTAGCGAAGATACAGCACACAATTTGTCTAAACATTTATTTTTTAATTTAGTAAGAAGTCTAAATAATTTTCTTTAAAGTTTTAACAAAAACAAGATCTTCTAATATATCAATTTATTTACTATTTTACAAGATGAGCTAAGGACAAATAAAAGTATTGTGAATAATTAAACATATTTATAATGACAAAAGACGTACAACATTATATTATATTTTGATATACTTGATTATTGTTCCCCAAATGCTAGTCCAACATGAGTCCCGCAAGAATTTTGCAGTTACTTATTAGCTTAATAATAATAGCAAATATTGCTATTTGCGAAACATGTTACTTTACATATTAGAAAATCTTAGACTAATTTTCCTGATAACCGATCAGATATGTCACTAGATTTATTTGATGAACTAAAGAAATGTAAACGGGCAAGTGAACAATTATTAAAATCAGTAAATAATTAAAATTCAATATGTTGTAACGTTGCTAAAACTGGTCCGCTTTTGTGGATTTTTACATAGATTTGTCAGAAATGTAACAACCTTTTAAAAAATATTACTAATTCATAATGTAGAGATATTACTGTCATTTTTCAGAATGACTAAATCCCATATGAAAAATTAGGAGAGTTGAATGCAAAAGTATACTGGTTCTACCATAGTATTAGAAAATATTTTTCCTTGATTTTCATTCACATAACCCCCCCCCTTTTTTTTTATTAATCTTGGACTTGATTTTGCGAAGTGCAAGACCGAGACCAATTTTTGGCAACACTGTACTTGATGGTGATATTCAAGAAGTTTTGCTTATGGAGGTACAGCACCGAAACTTAAGCGAGTAAAAAAATAAATTAATTTATTGGAACATCTCGAAATTACGAAATCTTCAAAGAAACATTCAAGTCTATGCTACTGGTAAATGAATCCACAGGCGGATCTACGGGGAGGCTTTCGGGCTAAAGCCCTCTCCCCCTCCCCCCCACAAATGGTAAAATGTTACCATGTTTTACAGAAAAAAAATATTAAAAACTATCTCTTAAAGTAATCTTGCTCGTGTAATTATATTTAATAGGACTTCAAAAACCATTTAAACACCATTTCATATAGGTAATTAATTAATTTCTTTTTTTTCAAATGAAAAAAAATCTTTCGGGCTGAAGCCCCCTCCCCAAAATTAAATCCTGGATCCGCTAGTGAATGAATCTATTTTAATTGGGAAGATCCAGGGGGGACGGTCATAAAAACATTTAAAATAATGGAAAAAAATATTTTATTTTAAGTCGACGTTTCGACCCAACTATACAGGTCTTCTTCAGGGCTAGAACGAACAAGATACAAAATATATGGAGAATTGTGGAAGTTACATGAAAATTATAAACAGTAAGAATAGAAAGTATATAAAAATATCAAATGAAATATAATTAAGTAAACAGAATAAATGAAGTATAACCAAGTAAGCAGAGTAATTAATTAATAGTAAATAGACCAATTGTAATTGAAATATACTAAACGGAGTAAATGAACAATATCTAAGAACCAAAACCTAAAATAAAAGAAATTAAAATTGGTAACAATTTAGAATCAGTTTAAAAATAATGGTTTGTTTTTCTGAATTATTTACTGCTGACTTCATAGGTATTTTATATTTTTTTAATTATATCTTATCAAAATACTATTACTTAAAAAAATTTAAAGAAACATTTAAGTCAATTTTTTTCCAAATATGTATTTATATCTCAGAGTACACGGTTTATGTTCCTATATTTATTTTTTATTTGAAGAGCTAAAATAATTATATATGTTCTATTAAAATTGATGAAAGATTTTGGTTTACTAAGAAAAGTACTTCTTGACCTTTTATCAAGAGGTGATACGGTCAGCAACCACACTGAATCGCCAGGTTTGTTCCGACCCATTGAATACCGAAGGCCTTACTTAATATAGGCTCAGTTCGCTTTTGGTTGGTTACCCATCTTGTAAACATTTAGCAAGTTAAAATTCAAAAGCGCATGCTCACTCATAAATAAGAATATTTAAATGTATAATAAATATATGATGATGTCAATGGCGGTAAGAAATGCAGAAGGACAGAATAGATAATTATTCTTGACGTTTAAATACAAATATTTGAAAGTGCAACATAAATCTAAAAATCGTGTAAAAAAACAAAATTTATTTGAACTCATTTGAGATTTTTATTTTTTTAAATTATTTTTTCAACGAAAATCTGTATTTAGCTGGCCCGTGCGAATAATTCGCAGACTATATTGGTCAGTGAACAAATGTCAAAATAATATAGAAATCAGTTAATGTAATATGTTCTACAGGCAAATCTACGAAGGGGGGGGGAGAAGGATTTTTGCCTGACGCACCCCAAAATGGTAAACTATTAACATGTCTTATGAAAAAAAATACTAAAAAATAATCTCTTTAAATATTATTGTTCGTGTAACTACAGTTAATAGAACTTCAAGAATCACTTAAACACCATTTCATATAAGTAGTTAGTTTCTTTCTCTTTCTTCTACAGTAATTATCATATATATATATATAAACCTTTTGGATTGAAATATCTCTCCCCCCCCCCAAATTAAATCCTGGATCCGCTAATGATATTTAAGAATCGATATTCTTTTTCTAAGTAGCTGTGATCGACCAAGGAATAAAAATGAAGTTGAAAATACAATCATGATAATAATAATTAAAACATCTTTACAAATTACATGTTTGAATTATATTATATCTTTGCTAATAATAGTTCATTTTGATTTTTTTTTTTTTGACTATTTAGTAACCTTTCAAATAATCATCGGTGTAATCGAACATAAAATCACTAGCGGACCCAAGAATTAATTTTGGGAGAAGAACTTCAATCCGAATGTTTTCTCTCTCTCTCTCTCTCTCTATATATATATATATATATATATATATATATATATATATATATATATATATATATATATATATAATGATAATTACTTCGAAAGGAAAATAATAAAAATTACTAATTATAAGAAATGGTGGTGTTAAGTGATTCTTGAAGTCCTATTAAATGTAATTACACGAACAATAATAATTTTTTTCATAAGACATAGATATATTTTACCATTTTGCGGGGGACTTCAGCCCGAAAGTCCCCCCTTCTTCTCCGTCTATCCGCCTGTGTTATAAACCGACCAAATTTTCTATTATACACAAATCATTTCATTTAGGTAAAATAAATACAATTCCCATTATTTCTTGTTTAGGTCCTTGATTAATAATTAAAATTTGCCCGGATTTAACAGTATTTTCAGCATGGCGTTTAACACAGCAAAAAAGTCAATATATGAGCCTTTTAGTTGACAGAATGACTAATTCCAATTTCAACATTTCTGAGCACAGGCGGATTTACGGGGGGTGCTTTCGGGCTGAAGCCCCCCACCCAAAATGGTAAAATTTGTTAAAAAATTATGTCTTAAAATATTATTGCTCGTTTAATTACATTTAATAGGACTTCAAGAATCACTTAAACACCATTTCATATAGGTAGTTAGTATTTTTCTGTTTTTCCAAAGTAATTATCGTTATATATATATATATATATATATATATATATATATATATATATATATGGAATTAGTCATTTTGTCAACTAAAAGACTCATATATTTGCTGTGTTAAACGCCATGTTGAAAATACTGTTAAATCCGGACAAATTTTAATTATTAATCAAGGACCTAAACAAGAAATAATGGGAATTGTATTTATTTTACCTAAATGAAATGATTTGCGTATAATAGAAAATTTGGTCGGTTTATAACAAAGGTGGATATACGGAGAAGAAGGGGGGACTTTGGGGCTGAAGCCTCCCGCAAAATGGTAAAATATATCTATGTCTTATGAAAAAAATTATTATTGTTCGTGTAATTACATTTAATAGGACTTCAAGAATCACTTAACACCACTATTTCTTATAATTAGTATTTATTATTTTTCTTTCCAAGTAATAAATATATATATATATATAAAGCTTCCGGGCTGAAGCCCTCCTTCCCAAAAAAAATTAAATCTTGGATCCGCTAGTGTTTCTGAGTAAAGTCATTTTAGTGATATTTCTAGTTGGAAAATTTATAATATCTGTGCAGGCAGTGAGTAAGTTGATTCCAGAATAGTGTTGAAACATAGATTGAAGTATGAAACTGAAACTAATAATAAAAAATGTTGAAATTGGAGTTTAATTATTCTATCTACTGAAAGGCTCATGTAATAATTATTATAATTTATAGTTAGTGCTTAGAGGTCAAATTTATAAATTTAAAATTCCGTAAATACGAGTCAAAAAAAAAAAAATATATATATAGGGTAAATGTATCAGTTTTCAAAAAATAATAAATTAAATAAATCATTAATAAATACTAAATTTTATAGGCCAAATAATGAGTAGGTTTGGAGTTCCCTTAAGAGGGTCTCTCGAGTGATATGCCACGATAACGAATTGACAGATGATTTTTTAAAGGAGCAAGGTTAGGTTTTGGTTTCAGGGAGGTTTCCTGATCAATTTTCATTAAGAGATAGGTTTGAAATTTTGATTCATTCATCTTTAGTTTGTCATTTCTTAGTTTACAACTATGTAGAATTTATTTATTTATTTAAGAAAAATGTACCAGTAATAGATAGTTTACGATTTATTAACATGTAATAAGCTTTATGAATCAAAAAGAGATTGCAAATACTATTAGATTTGAAGTCAAAACACCTAGAAAGGTGATTGGTTGAACCTCAGGTGATATCATATCACAATGGTTTGTTTGTTAATCGAGAAAGGCAAGGTTTTTGATTTATTCATCTGTTGTTTGTCATTTCTTTGTTTAAAACTGTGGAGAATTTATTTCATATATTTATGTAAAAAAATATGTTGCCCCCAAAATCTGAGTGTCTATTACTACTACGAAATTTCCTGAGTTTTT